GTGTGTGTGTGTGTGTGTGTGAGAGAGAGAGAGAGAGAGAGAGAGAGAGAGAGAGACAGAGACAGAGACAGAGACAGAGACAGAGGGGGGGCAGAGAGAGAGACAGGGTTTCTCTGTGTAGCTTTGCGCCTTTCCTGGAACTCACTCTGTAGACCAGGCTGGCCTAGAACTCACAGAGATCCGCCTGCCTCTGCCTCCCGAGTGCTGGGATTAAAGGCGTGCACCACCACCGCCCGGCCATAAAGTAAATCTTTAAAACATACATTTTATTTAATTAGTTTTTTTTAAAACCCAGTGTAGGTGTGCTATAAGGCTTCTCAGATACTTGTTTAATCAAGAAACATGGACTTTTATCCATGTTTATAATCACCATGGATGTCGTTCTCATTGAAGGTGCCTGTTTTGAATAATGTGCATGAGAAGAACTAACTAAAGGCTTTGGATATTTCTAGTAACAGTCTGGTCTGTGGAAGGGATGGAAAGATGCTCATCACTTAAGAGCACTTGACCCTCTTGTAGAAGACCCAGATTTGGTTCCCAAGACCTGTGTGACATCTCAGAACCATCAAACATTTGATCAGACCCTGTCCAAGGGCACCAGGCACTCAACATAGAAAACATTCTCAGGCTGGCTTCAGATAGGCAAAGACGGCTCTGGCAGGCCTTGTCCTTCTCCCCCATCCCCTCTGCCTTGCTAAAAACCGTTAGATTACATTCCTGAAGCTAGCCACCAAGGTCTAGTCCCTTATTCGGCCACTTCCTCCTCCTGACGCTGACTACCAAGGTCCAGCTATCAAAGTGTTAAGTCCAGCAATCAAAAGCTTCCTTTGGCTCACTAAATGAACATGCCCAATTAAATTAAACACCTCATCCCAACACTGGGTTTCCCATTTACCTTAATAAACCGCCATTTGCTTATTGGCCACCTCTGTCTCCCCTCTATTCAGAGGCAGTCCTTGGTCCCTCTGGGACAAATATCCCTGCCCCTCTCCTCCTTGTTCCCTTAGGCTTCTACCTCCCATTTTGTCTCTTATTCCCTGCCCTCTGTCCCTCTGGGGTAAATACATCTCCTTTGTGCTGAGGACGTGGCCCTGGGGCTCCTGAGCCCATACTGGTCACTTCCCTATCCAGCAAGCCCTGAATATTCCAACACAGCTGAAGCACAAGAAAACGACCTTAAAACCAATTGCATGAGATGACAGAGCTCCTTAAAGAGGAGATGAATAAATTCCTCAAAGAAAGACAGGAAAAACAAAGTGTGGTGAAGGAAATGGAAGTGGAAACAGAAGCAATAAAGAAAACAAACCGAGAGATCATGGAGAAACACTGTTTTCTTTCTAAAATAGCTATATTACAAACCAAAATCCAGGCAGCTGTATCCAAAACACAGAAAATGTGTATTTTGTATCTTAGCTATCTAACAATTATAAATACAGGCAAAGCATGTTATGAATCCTGCAGATTCATAATTCAAAATCCTACATTTTCTTCTGGCCAACAAAACTGCACTAACCAATTTGTTACAATTTTAAGACACATGGCAACCGACACTTACAGATTTCCCTTTGAGCCTTCAGACACTGAGAAGCAGAGATACTATCTGATTTTTGTTTGTTTGGTCGAATTTTTTTTCCAGCCTTCACTACTGAGTCCTCTTTTTGCCTTGGTGATGCGCATGTTCATCGTTTGATGAGTATCTCACCTCAGTCACTTTAACCTTTGAGCCCGAAGCTCCGAAAACACTGTATAAGAGTAATTATGTTTATGAGTTAATGACTAAACATCAGGGTCATGTGTAAACCTTAAAATGCTGTATTATGTCTGTAAGTGGGCTAACGAGGGTTTAAAGGAGCCGGGTGCGGTGGCGCAAAGCTCTTATTCCTAGAACTATGTAGACAGCCCCTGTCTCGGGTGAAGGTAGTGGGCGCTGAGGGGGGAGGCAGAGAGAGAGACAGAGACAGAGAGGGAGGGGAGGGCGGGAGGAGGGGCGTTAAAGGGCCAGAGAGATGGCTTATAGGCAAGGGAAAGGGCAGTTGCCATCAGGCCTGAGAATCCAAGAGCTTGATCCTCAGAGCCCACGCGGTGGAAAGCGATCCGACTGTCACAAAGTGTCCGCTGGCCTCCACACGCCAGTCAGCGCACACACACCTGCCCCCACCCCACACAGACAACACACACACACACACACACACACACACACACACAGAGAGAGAGAGAGAGAGAGAAAACAGTACTTATTTATTTTGTATGTATGTGTTTGTGCCAGAGTGTATGCAGGAGCCTGAGGAGGTCCAGAGAGGGCACAGTGGATCCCTGGACCAGGAACACGGACTTGGGTCACCCCAATACCAGGTCCCCACGTAGTGTCAGCTTCACGGTGTTTCTGTAGAAGAGAACAAAGAAACCCAAAGATCAAGAGCTTTTTAAAATACAGGGGTGGAGACACGAGGTAGGCAGGTTGGAGCAAAGCGGGGAGACCTCTGCTGTAGGGCTGGCTCCCGGGCTCCCCGACGACATTCTCCGACTTGGTGTTGGAGGGAGATGGGGGTCTGTTCGAACTCACCAAAACCAGTTACAAGGCTGTTAGGCCAAGCGGTGGGCAGCCCACGGCTGTTTAGGGTTTGGAGAGAATTCAAGATGATTTGTCTCTGGTCCTTCTACACTCCATTCAGTTCTCCCCCAGCAAGAGAGTGATGTCACCCCTGGGTGCCTGCCGGGGGCGTGGTCTATGCAGATGAGGGGCGCGCAGGGGCTGCCGGTCCGCACCCGCTGCGGAAACGCGAGGGATTTGGCGCGCGGCGTGGGAGGGAGCGCGGATGCGCGGGTGGGAGCGGAGCGCAGGAATCGGGCGCGGGTCCGGGGAGGCCCGCGATCGCTGGCGGCGAAGTGACCGTGTGTTGAGAGCGCAGGTCCGGTGTGGCTGAACGGTGTGTGTTGGGGAGGCGAGCATACTTACCTGGCAGGGGAGACACCATGATCAAGCAGGTGGTTTTCCCAGGGCGAGGCTCACCCATTGCACTTTGGGGTGTGTTGACCCCTGCGATTTCCCCACATGCGGGAAACTCGACTGCATAATTTATGGTGGTGGGGGACTGCGTTCGCGCTCTCCCCTGACTTTTTCTTGGGAAAAAGAGCAGAATTTTTGATGCTTTCTTTGAATCTACTATTTCATTCCTGCTTTCATAAAACCCTTTTATGGCTACCATACCATCTGAGCAACTGAAACCAAAACGTGAAACCCACGAGTTGAGCTCTTCAGGTTACCTCTTCGCACTTTGGACAAGAACAACCTTAAGAGGTTCTAGGTTAATACAAAAACAAAAGAAGAACAAGACAGAATAAAGTATTAATGGAGGCCTGGAGCTTTTCCCTGACAGCCAATCAGCAATTTTAGGAAAACGAGGTCCCAACTTGGGTTTCATACTCCAGTCCTTTCTTTCTTTGTTCCCGTGTTTAATATGAGCACCACCCCGGGCCAGCAACACAACTGTCCAAAACCTGTTGTAAGTTTAGTAAATGGGTCACCCCTAGAAACCGCTGATAGAAGCATTCCTCCTCTGCTTTGTTCCTTTCTTTCCCACCCTCCCGTGTCTGCGGTTAATTGAAAGAACAAAAACAAACACACCCGCGTGACTTCATTGTCTTCCTAACGAAGTTGGCTTCCACTGCGTCCGCTCGGTTCTAAAC